TGAGGGGGCCAATGAGATGGGCCAATCAGACGCAAAGGGGCGCCGTTCCCGAACGAGCACACTGGGAGCTTGCCGACTGCTGCAAGTGATGTCAGTTCTCCATGCCCCTCTTTCAAGTCGAAACCGCGATAGTTACTTGGGTCGGAAGATTGCCATTGTTCTTCATTTTCACCCCTTCTCAACTTCATCCATTGTCTTTTGACGAGGATAAGACACCAATTAAACCTCAACGGGATCCACACGGTTTGTCTACAATGGCGCTGAAGGTGTGTCGGTTGGTTTTCATCCTTGGGAGTTCTGTTTCGGGCAAACATTGGTGTTTGGTCGCTTTTACTCCAGCCCTCTAACGTTTCATGGCACCTAGACACTCTCGGCAAAAGCGGCAGCGGCGTTGGACCGGGACTTGATGAGCGCCGGCGCCTTCTCGCTCGACCAGCTGATGGAGCTCGCCGGGCTCTCCGTGTCTCAAGTCGGTCGGTGCAACATTTCCCCAGCTGGCTTGCGATGAGACAAACTCCGGCTGACATGATGCTGTAGTCTACCGAGTCCATCCTGTTAGCAAGGGCAGCAGAGTTCTGGTTGCTGTTGGTCCCGGCAACAATGGTGAGTTCTGGCCGGTTATCTTTGTTTACTTTGGCCGCGGTTGGTCAGTGCGCTCACCAAGCGATTCAGGGGGTGACGGCCTAGTCGCCGCCCGCCATCTGCGCCAGTACGGCTACCAACCGAGCGTCTACTACCCGAAACGGCCAAAGAATGACTTGTACCAGGTAATATACCTCTTTCTTTTCGTCGTGTTGCGGTGTTGTGATCTTCTGGTCTCGGTGTCCTCGCAATTGTGCCGCCAGGGGTCACCCCTGAATGGCAACGTCGAGTGAGGATGTCCTTTATTAGCTCTATGGCTATTATCAAGATGCCCACACCTGGGCAGGCGCCGCGGTCAGCTCTTCGTGTACTTGCTGCCGCGTGCGCGCCGGCCAGCCCTGCTGGTTCTCTTCCCTCAACCGCCGCTGATTCGTGTACGTAGCGGCTCGCCAAACAGCTGGAAGACCTCGACGTCCCCTTTGTGGATGACTTTCCGACCGCGCTGCAGTCGGCCGACCACGTTATCGATGCCATCTTTGGTTTGTGCACCCCGTCCTTTTTTTCCTCCGGTTTCCTTGCCGTAGACTCCCAACTAACCCGCTCTAGGCTTCAGCTTCTCGGGCGAGGTCCGGGAACCGTTCCCAGCCGTCATCCAGGCCATGGCGGAGACCAAACTGCCCGTGACCTCGGTCGACGCTCCATCGTCTTGGGATATCGAAGAGGGCCCTCCCAAGTCTGGCGTCGGCAGCAACTTCCACCCTGATGTCCTGATTAGCCTGACGGCGCCCAAACCCCTGGTCAAGCACTTCAGGGGTCGGCATTTCATCGGCGGCCGGTACGTACCACGTTTCCCCTCCTGTCCCGACCTTTGCTGTGTTGCTGAACGTCCGCACCAGATTCGTCGCGCCGGGGATCGCGAAGAAGTATGACTTTGATGTGCCGGCGTATGAGGGGGTCGATCAAATCGTCGAGGTCGGGCCTGAGGGGCTGAAGCTCTGATGTGCCGCCGCCGGTCGTGGCCTGTTGGGTGGCCGCACCCCCTTTCCCCTGTCGCCCTCCTGCTGCTGCTACATCAACGCACACCCGCCTCCCGGGCTGTTGGGGCAGATGCGGCTCGGGCAGCCCCCCTGTTCCATGGGGATGCGGACGGCGACAGTGCCGGTCGGGCAGGTCACCAGCGGCGGGTGGAAGGCCTTGCAGAACTCGACATAGACCAGGTAGTCTTTCCCGCAGGCTGGGCATACACTGCTGTGATGCTCAGTGCACATTAAATTAACGGCGACCCTGGGGTGTCCGGCGAAGGGGTCGGGGTTGGTTGTGCAAGAGGTCGGTGATGTCCAGGTCCGTGAGGCGACATGTGGCTGCGGCGGGCGGCGTCCAACGTTGGTGTGTTTTGTGTTGTGTGTCTCGGGGTGTGTGGCTTGAACGTATATAGTTGTCTGGACGGGCAAAAGGGACGTGGCTGTTCCGTAGCAGCCCCCGGTGTGTTGTGTGCTGTGTGTCGTGGCCAGGGCGGGTAGGGTCAGGTCATCCCCGTGGGGGTATAGCTCGGGAGAGGTACAAGGCTTGGCACGGCCGAACTGGTGTGTCTCGCCACTGGAAATCGGTGTGAATTACCGCAACTGGCGACCTGGGGTGCGGCTGTGACGGAGGCGAACCATTGTGGCACGGCCAGCGAGGTCTGGAAGGGGGAGGAATCGCTGGCCGGCACGACCTGGGAGACAGAATGCCCCATTTTCTGTTCGACTCGCAAGAAGCGGTCTCTGCTCGGCACACCCGCAATGCGCAATCCGCAGTGCGCTTTCGCTGCTACCTGACTGTCTCCCAGGCCAAGGGGTCGAGAATGCGGCCGGAGCAAATGCTCCTGGGCGGATAGACCCGCTGCGGTCCCTGATAGGCTGGGATGCAAGGGCGCATGGCAGCTCGGGACAAGGGTCCTCTTTTAAGCTCCGAGCAAACCCCGGTTTTTTTCCTTTCTGACGAGAATTCGGGAACACCTCGACGGTACGCCATTGTAGGTTTACGACAGCGAGTGGAGCGAGCCCCGCCGTGGTGTGTGGCCTGGATGCAAATTTGGCGGGCTGGGAAGAAACCCGGAAGCATGGGATGCATTTCCTTTCCCGGTCCGATGCAAAACCTGAGAGGAGGTCCAGACTCGACCCAGTCGGAAAGCTGCGACCACTTGCAGCTTGGGGAGCTTGCAGGTTGTCGCCTCAGGGTCCCCTCCATCCCGCACATGTTGTACATGCACCGCATCCCTGGTGACGAGCCCTGCGAGGCATCAAGCGGTTCGTTTTCTGTCGTTCATTCGGCAAGTTGGGACGTCGGCTGACTGATTGACAGCAACACTTTCCTGTTCTGCGTCAGGTTTTGACGGTTTGCGTGCGCGGCATCATCTTCGACGCCAATGGGGACCCCGCGCACAGCCACACGACTACTTCCAAGGCTGTGGCGTCGTGCTTCCGCCCCTCCATTCCAGATTCCCAGCAAGAGCCCGCTGTCCCTGCCCCGCACTGCCAGGGTTCGCGAGATGGAGGGTGTGCCCCACTGACCACTGACGAAAATTCATCAGAATGTCGACATCCCATCTCGGGGGCGGGTCTGGAACCCAACGGCCTGCCCGCCCGACCACAGCTTGCGAGCCGAAACTTACCGCTGATTCAGGTCCATGGACAAACAAACCTTGATTCATCAGGCGATCCGAGCATCAGACGCAAACACGCCCCGAGCAGGCAGCCCGAGACACACCGCTGGCATTGTCTCCTTCCCGAACCTGGAAGCTGCCCTCGGCTAGATATTCCAGACTGGGAGCAGCCGCACAATAGTTCAGGCAACCACCGCCAATCTGCGTCGTCCTTGCATCCGGCCGCGAAAGGCGCTGGATCTTGCAAGATGCGGAAGTTTTGATCCGGAACCAGCGCCGCGGGTCGATAGCGGGTCCGCTCGTGCGGTGGGCGGCCCTGCGGCAGCGCCGGAACTTCCACCGCATGGAGCTGCGAACCCTTTCCTACGGGTATGGGCAGCGGCCTGCTGAGGCTGCCTGTCCCCTTTTGCCGCTTTCTGGACAAAGCTGCTTTCATTTGCGGCTCAGCCAGCGAGCCGACACCTCAGAAATGTATGTATGTGTCCAGGCCGCAGGCGTTCGAGCAGGACCCTGAATCTGGCGGGGATCCCTGCAGCCTTGGCCCCCACATGCCACTTGCATCCCTGTCATCAAGTCCTCTCTCGGCGGCACGGCATCGAACCCCTCAGAAAGAAGAACAACAAGCCGATGCAAAAGTGTCGACGTCACTCTTCAATACGAATTCTCCCTCACAACCTGCTGTGGATAACCGCCGACTCGACGGATCGCTCCTGTCAGTGGAGCCCCCAAGGACTAGCCGCTCTCGCCGCTCTCGCCGCTCTCGCCGCTCTCGCCGCTCCGCGAACACAATCACAAAACCTCGGAGAACTCGGCTGTGGCCAAAGCTACCCACGAGATCGGCGAGATGTGGCTTGCATACAGAAGGTCGCATCCACGAGCGATTCGTCCTCTCAACCGCTGCTTCGCTCACCAAGAAGCCTTCTCCGGGCGTTCCGCGAGGACCAAGACCTTCCCCCTTGAGAGGTCATCAGACGCCTCCAGGTCCGAGTCCGCCACAGTTGCTGCCCAATCCCCGCCACGGCGGGGCTCAACCCAACGGTCCAATCCAACAGCTTCAACAAGCTCCAACCCACTGCCAACCATTTCTCCCCCCCTGATCGGCATCAAGAATGGGAAAATGAGAATCCCATGACGAGTCCTTTGCCACAATGTCTGTGGCCATCTCGGCTACGAACAAGCTTTTCTGACTTCTGACGGTTTCACGGCATGGAGCTGCTGAACATGCCACAGCCCTCTTAACTCCACTAAAACAACCCAGAACCTGTATACCAGCTCCTTATTGGGGGTGCCTCGCCCGATGTGAACGGTATCAACAATGTATTCCCCCGCCACTCGTAGTTGCCCGTGATCAACAACTTGAGGGTTCCACACGAGCTGTGCTCCTGGCTGCGAGGCCGCCCACCTGGTTGCTCCTGGCCGCTAAGCCCACAGCGCCTAGACCCCCCGATCTGCGCTCGAGCTCTTGACCGTAGCCATCGAGTTCTGGGAAGCAATCGAAAAGGACGGGGATCCTGCCGATGTGAAAAAAAAAAAAAAAAAAAAAAAAAAAAAAAAAAGGAGAAAGGGGGTACACACTAACTAGGTAGTATTACCCCGCTCCGTTGCAGCAGCCCCTTTTGTTCGATACTCCTAGAGAGAATCCACATCCCCAAACATCCTCGATGAGGTTTATCAGCTCGGCAGTTACACAGTAAGGGGTCACGAAAAGGCAACAAGAACCAAGGACATGGAAAAAGACACAAAAATTTAAGAACCAGAGGTCAGACGGGAATTGAGCCCGACGTGGGGGTCGAACCCACAACCTTGAGATTTAAACCGTGAACTGTTTTTAAGAGTCTCACGCTCTACCGATTGAGCTAGCCGGGCAGGCTGCTAATCATTCCTCTGATTCGTTGGAGTCGTAGAGCGGAGGGCAAGGTTGTGAAGGGGAATGCAGAGAATTCGGACGTCGAGCGTTGATTGGTGGAGTTTGTGGGGCCGACTTACATGTCACTCTTCTCTTCAGGGCGGGAATTTGAGAATTGGGCTCGGAGTCAATGCAGTGTTGTTTCTTCGGCCAAGATTTGAGTGAAGCTTTGCTTGGGAAGCTGAGGACAATGCCAGTGGGAGCTGTGGGCATGGTACTCGATAGCAAGGAAGTAGCCAGTAGTTCTCCGTTTGTGGCTGGAGGCATGTCGAGTGTCGAGTTCCTTAGCTGTACTCGTTACAGGCATAGAAAATGAAGGGATATTGTGCACATCGTCTCAAGAGCCAAATACGTTTGTCTTTTTCATGGAATATAATGTCGGCGTGGAAGGTTCCAAACAAAGTCCGATGAGCGTTGCTCTTGTATCCATCCGAGACTTAAAGCTTGACACATGTGAAACTACCTCTGTAACAAATGAATTCCTAGATACTAACTGCAGCTATGAATACTCCTAGTTTTCTGTCTACTCTCAAGTTAATCGGAAATTGATAAAAACAATATAGGAGGACTATCCGCCTTACCTCACCTTTCAAGACACAAAGCAGTTACACCACCACTAAGCAAAAACCCCCAAGTACCACTGTTACACTCTACGTAAAGAATCGCATAATCTAGATACTAGAATCTGTCCTTCACCCAGACTTTTCCTTCGCACTGCTCTCTCTTACCACTTGGTCTACCAAGAGCATTTCATTGAGAATAATAAACGCCTGGGCAATACCACCAGCACACGAAGCCACTCCGCTGACCTCTTTTGGGACAGTGAGATAGAGAATCGGAGAGAAGATGGAGCAGCCGATACCGCCACCGAGAAAGAACCAGCTCCAGAACCGCGGTTGCAGTGAAACGGTCCTGGATCTGGCCAACGAGAATACGATTGGAACCATGCTGGCCAGCTGCAAGAAGCTAGACTGGAGCAGGAGCCAAAAATCGGCATCTTCGGGGGAACTCATGCTGTGATCCGCCTTTGTCCATGCGAATCCCGTGAAACATCCGGCTGTGATGCTGAGTAAAACAACTAGCGTAAGGATGGTGGGATCATACTGCCGAGCTGGGTTAAGAATTTGTCCCTAGGTAGGTATGTAAAGGTGTCTGGGATAACAGTGTTGAAAACATGACTTACTCGGTGAGTGGTGTCACTTGCGTCCTTCCCGGCGGATGGATCCAGGACGTGGTCGCTACCCTCGGGATCCTCGCCGGCTTGGTGAGTGGGCGCAGGGTGCCGCCGGCGAAGCGACCCAGAATCCCCTTCGTTGCTCTCGTCTTGCTGCAGACTTGTCCATCGGACTTCTTCTCCCGCCCGTTACATGCGAATAGCTGCCTTGAACATCTGGAGGATTTCGGGCGTGAGCTGGGCAACCTGCCGCGTGATGGCTATAACTGCTTGGCTGACGGGGCGTTAGTGTTGAGCTTTGAGATCATCGAGAATGTCTTCAGGGGGTGTGTTACATCGAATCGTCCAGCTCCGCGGAAAATCGGACGTCCCTCTCGAGCACCCCATTGAGGTCTCGGTGCATCTCGTCCAAGACCTCGTCCACGACAGCAAACTTTTGAATCAGGGCATTGGTCATGGCCAGGCGATCTTCTTCATATGTGTCCGCGATGGGCTTCGTGGCATTGAGCGCCTTCTGCCATGCCAATGTCCCAGCCCGCTCCACCTGCTTCAGCCAGAAGCGCCACTCTCCCATTCGGCTCGGGTCGTACCGGAGGTAACGCAGGATTCCCAGACATATTTTGCCCCAAATTTCATCCAGCTCGGGCAACCTGAGCAGGTAGGCACGGATTGCCTCGGTGCTATGGTCAGCCTCTCGGTACTGGCGCTTGGCCATCGCCAGGAGACTGAATTCGCCCTCTGAGACGAGGAACGCGTTCGGATTGTAGGAATCGCGTACTTCCTTGCCTGAGTTTACGATCAGGTCATCCATTTTGTCGAAAAAGTTGAGCATATCGATAATTGATCCGGTGGCTCGGAGCGTTCCGTCCTGCGAGCCTGAAGAGACGTCGATGGACTCGGCCATCTTGTTTGCTGTCCTTCTGTTCATGTGATTGTCGCTCACTGGCTCACTCCGGCTTTCAAAGGAGCTTCGAACTTGAGTTCAGGCGGATGGGATTCGAAGGTTTATAAGTCCTCACCGCTTCCGATTCAAACACTCGATTGAAATACTGGGGCTTGCTTCGCCCCTTTCAGCACTGCCTTTCCAACTATTGGTAACCGTGCCATGCCATCTTCACTTCAGCCAACCAGTTGTCGTGCTTCATAGTTTAGCGTCCAGTGGCGTTTTATTCCGCTCCGGCAAGCTGAGGCTGAGCGGGAGAGGCCTCAATCTCAGCTTTCGACCCCTCGGCGACGCCCCTTTCTTGTCCTGACTTTCTCTCTCCGCCTAGAACAAGGGCAATGGGAATTAGCAGAAGCTGTATGGGTCAGAATTCCGGGAAAGATGGAGACTATGTTAGGCGTTCTGTCTTCGCCGGCCCCGGGCGTATGGGGGGGTCTAACACGTACCCAGGCACTCTCCAGGGGATGTACTCCCCTGGGGATGAGGGGCGATGCTCAAACTTGACCAGTAGGTTGGCCATGATAGCCTAGGAACAGCAGCATCAAGCCTACTCGTAGGAAGCCAAACACCAAATGCCAAGGGTATATTTGCCGTCGTCGACAGCCGAAACTCAGTGGCTGCTGGGCCAGCCTCTGTCTGCTCCCAGGTGACATGCTCTATCTATCAGCCCAGTTTAACCCAACCAGCCGGGCTACAGTGGCCTCTTCCTAACTGCCTGTCGGTCATCAAGAGCACGAAAATCATCCGTCAGAATCCAAGTTCATGCCGGTACCCAGAACGAATAAAAGAAAAAGAAAACGAAAACGGGAATGAGATCCATCGCTGGCAGATTGCCTCCCACTCCGACCTCAACTACTCAGTCCTCTACCCACTCACTACCTATTATACCCCCCACCGTTCCCCCAGTACCCGTCATTCCCCCTCCCTCCCTGCCCATACCCGTTCCCGTTCCCGTTTCCGCCCCCGTGCCCCTGGTCCTGCTCATGATACCCTCCATACCCGCCCTGCACCCGGTCCCCGTACGCATCCGTCGTAAAGCTGCGCTGCGGCTGCGGGTGGGCAAGCTGCTGCGGGCCCGGTGAGCCCATGCGCATCTGGGCGCCGGGGCTGGTATAGCTGCGGTTGGGCGGTTGAGCGTACGCCTGCGCCGGGCTGCGCATGCCGCCGCCGGGGCCGGGGGACTGGGCGTGCCGCGAGGGCGCGGGAGAGCGGTTGTTGCCCTGCCGGTCCGAGTACATGCCCTGACCAGGACCCCGACCCGGCCCAGGGCTGGCGACGCGGGGGGATTGGGCGCCGTCGCGGAGGAGGGGGACGGGGCTGCGCATGGGGACGGGGCTGACGGGGCTGCGCATGCCACCCGCCGCTGCGGCTGCACCCCCGGCACCGACGCCCACGGCTAGGGCTGCGGCGGCGGCGGAGTCGTACCTGTGGTCGAGCGGCGAGGCGGGGGTCGTGGCTTTGAGGTTTGGCGAGCCGGGCACGCTGTAGCTGTCCTCGTCGGTGAAGCCGTCGCGGCGCATATCCTTGGCGTTGTACTCGTGGGCCTGCGAGTCGGAGGCGAAGCTGTCCGGGTCGACGCCGGCCTTGCGGAAGCGCTCGAGCTCGAGGCGCTCGGCCTCGGCGCGGGCCTCGGCGGCCTTGGCCTCGCGCGCGCCGCGGCGCCGCTGCCGGATGCAGTAGAACAGGCCCGTGAAGAGCAGCAGGCCGACGAAGCCCGCGGCGCCGGCGTAGATGCCGATCTTGGCGCCGTTGGGCAGGTCGTTCCACTTTTCGGCGAGCGTCTTGTCGGGCGGCGCGTTGATGATCTCCTTGACGGTCGAGTTGCCCCTGTGATGCGTTAGCAGTCAAGTCGTTTTGATTGGAGGCTCCCGACTTACTCGACAACCTTGATGCTCTCCCACGTGCCGCTCTTGTCGGTGTACTCGTACTCCTTGCCGCTGCTGTAGTCGGCGACATGGGCGCTCTTGACAAACATGTCGAAGGGGGCCTGACTGTAGTCGGTGTCGCCGCCGGCCCACTCGCGCGTGCCCTTGGGCATCCTGGGGTCGCCACCGGCCCAGATGCCGATGGACAGGCGCATCGGGGTTTGCGGGTAGAAGTACGTGTTGTTCGCGTCCTTCGGCAAGAGGGTGCGGACCTTGTTTCCGTCAATCCAAAAGTCCAGGGCGTCCTTGGTCCAGACGGTGGTGTAGTTGTGGTAGTCGTTCTGCACGCCGGCGTCGACCGGGTGGTAGATGGCATTGGGCACATCGGGTTGGACGCCCTTTCCAAAGTAGTTGCTCTGGGCGACGGTCTCGTTGCCGCCAAAGAACTCCCAGTCGATCTCGTCCAGGTTGTCGCTCAGCATCATGATGGAGCTGATGACGCCGGTGCCCTTGGCCGCCTTGAGGTGCACCTCGGTGCGGCCCCAGAAGTAGTAGAACTTTGAGCGGATGGTTGGCGAGTCGCCCATCTTGCTGATGGTGAAGCCGGCTCCGGTGTCGGCGTGCCAGTTGACGGGGCCGACTGTTGTCTCCCACACCTCGACGTTTGGTGTGCGGTTGAAGTTGAAGTTGAGGTCCATGCCGAAGGCGGGGTTGGGCGGGCACGTCACGTTCATGGGGAAGCAGGGGGTCGTGACCTGGGCGGCGGCATGGGGGGCGAGGGCGGACCACGCCAGCAGCGCGATGGCCGAGGCGGGGACTGATGGGAGCCACATTGTGTGGTTGTGGTGGTGGTGGTGGTGGTGGTGGTGTGGTTGTAATGGCTAGGTGTTTAAGCCAAGTGTGGTTACAGGTCGTTCCTATGTGGTATCTTGTGGCCGTCAACGGTCAATGTTGCATGTCGTTATTCGCGTGATGTCG